AAGTAAGTGACATGGTTCTCAAAGTGCAAGGTTTCATTTGACTTACAATTTTCTTCAGAAACACAGAAGAAAAAGGTATTTGTATATAGTTTGTATATTCACTTCGTTGTGTGTAGAACTTAAAAATACGTTGAATCCTTTCTAATCTAATCTTCTTCTAATGTAATTACTTTCGTACTTCAAATGTTGTAGTAATTATTATGTAAGAGCTTCGACATTATTTCTAAATGGACATCGAGAGAAACATCAAGTTTTTTGAGAGCAGGCCGCCATGTTATTTTTCTGAGTCATTAACAAATTGGTACTCTGGAATTACGAGCAATTATTTTTCATTGTACGGGCTAGTATGAATTTCAAATCAAATCTCTATAAACGACTATTATATTTTGTGCACTAAGAATAACATATCGCACTTATTTTCTAAATCAAATTGTAATCAGTTTTACTTATATGTATGTATATTCAATGTGAACTTGCACCTTGAATAAAATATCACAGTTACTTTTCATGGTAATATATTATTACTAAATTTAGATAATATACACTTTACGTATGTTCACTTTGAACTGGCACCTTGAATAACATATCAGTTACTTTTCGTGATAATTTATTATTAGATCGTTTAAATTTTTGAGTATCTTCTTTTGAACATGGCCTGACCTTTCATTTTATGATTTTTTTAGGATATATATATATGAATGTATGTATGTATGTATGTATGTATGTGTATATATACGCAGGATGTCCTGCAACGTGATATTCACAGTGAAACTTTGTATCATTCGAAAAATAAAGATGATTTTAAAATTGCAAGATTTTCTCCATCTATATATATAAATTTTTTGCGATATTCTAATGATACCCCCTTTATTCTTATATATATATATATATATAATATATACACATACATATTGATTTATTTACCAATCTATCTATCGAACTGTTCGAAAATCGAACGTCTAACGCAAGAAAAAAAAAAAAAAAGCTTAAAACATTATTGCGTTAAAACTCATGCAATCATGTCGTTCACATGCAACATGCCTCATGCGTCACCTTATATTAATATTAATTCAAATAGCGCTCGGCCGCACAGGTATACGTATACCCCGCGCCTGCAAAAAGGAAGCGCTTACGTCAAATCACCGATAATGGTAAACACCGCGGTCGCGCTAGAGGAGATACAATTTAGTCCCGATAATAACAAAACGACTATTTTTCTAAAAGTAAATAATTACACGCAACGCTCTTTCGACCTCAGCCGAACGTTAGAATAAAGAGACTTATTCTCGACTATTCTAGAAACACGGGCCTATAAAAACCTCCTCTCTCGTGATCGCGCCGCTCTTTTCCGATTGCTTGTCGCGCCAAAGTGTGCTTATACTTTACGAAAAAGATCGCTTGTCCTTTTCGCTTCTCACGTTTAATTACCGTTGCTTGCGGACATTCAGTAATTTATTGTCGACCCGGCTTTTCTCTCGTTTATTGCATTTATTTCTAATACGTTCGACTCGGCTATCTTTTGGTAAATTCTGTGCGGTTAAACAATTGTAATTTGTGTTGTTCTTAGAGTAAATATATTTTTTGTTCACGTTACGCGTTTGTCGAGTGCAGTGTTTCGCTGTCCTTTCGCTTCCGACCTTCCTATCCTGCTTTCCGTCGCGCACATTATTTGGTCCTTCGAGCCGGATACCTCAGGAACCTCCTTGAATCCGGTGCCACGGAAGCGATAGTGAATCAGTGTCGGTGACCAGTGCTCCTAGAAAAGAGAAACAGTTTTAGACATGACAGACACTAAGGCAATCATTGCCACAGCCACAGTGCTATACGGCAAAATCTCGCGCGCGTACGAGAACCTTCGGAAGCTCAGCGAGGCCAATATCACCCTCGGCGCGGTGGAGGCCCGGCTTCAAAACCTCGAGAAGCTGTGGGAGAAATTTGACACAATTAACGATACTTTAGCCGATCGTGTGGACGAAATACGGCATGAGGTGTACGCCAAACAAGATATCCCTTCGTTGGGCGAGGAGGCTTACCTGCAGAACAAGGGCCTCATGCTCGATCTGAAGAGCGCTCTCCAACGACAAGAGCATACATCCAGACCAAGTTCGGCAGCGACACCGGCCGCCGCTCCTCGGACCGCATTGCCTAAGATTCAACCGCCGACCTTCACCGGGAAGTACGAAGATTGGCCTTCGTTCCGAGACCTCTTCCAGTCCATCATTGGCAGGAACCAGGCAGCCAGACCTGTTGAGAAATTACATTATCTCAAACTCTGTGTCAAGGGTGATGCGGAGTTACTGATACGCAACCTGAACACTACGGAGGAAAACTACGAAATCGCTTGGAAGACGCTAAGCGATTTTTACGAGAACGCAAGGCTGTTAACCCGAAACTACCTCAACAACTTCCTGGCGCTTCCTAAGATGAAGAGCGAATCCGCAGTGGAACTGGGGCGACTCTTTCACGGCGTAAAAACCACAGTCAGCTCGCTGAAGAGTATCGATCGTCCCATCGATCGCACGGAGGACCTCTTTGTGCATCTGGTCGTCGAGCTCCTCGACAATCGTTCTCGTCGGGAATGGGAGAGCGTCATCAGTCATACGACCAACCCGCCTACTTACGCCGAGCTGGAAGCCTTCATCGAGCGACGGCTTCATACTTTGGAGGCACTGTTTCCAGCCAAGAACGACAGCCGCAACCTTAGCAGTGCAAAAACAACTCGGAGCCATCACGTGAAGAAAGCTGAAACGAAGGATAGATCCAGAAGTCGGTGCGCCGATTGCCAGGGCGACCACTTCATAATGTTTTGTGGCAAATTCAAGGAGAAGACGGCTACGGCCCGCAGGCAGTTTGTCAACGATCAAAATCTCTGCTCAAACTGCCTGGGTCGACACCAGCTTTCGGAATGCTCATCAAAAAAGACTTGCACGACGTGCGGCAGTCGGCATCACTCCTCGCTGCACGACGCCTTCTGCAACGCCAAGACCGCCACAACGTCACACTTAGCGCAAGGATCTCATCCGGCCTCTGTCACGGTGTTGCTCGCCACAGCTCGCGTCCGCGTCCTCGATGGCCACGGATCCTGGCATTCCGCCCGAGCGCTGATCGACCAGGGCTCAGAGTCTTCCATCATATCGGAGCGATTGGTTCAGCGACTGCGACTGCCTCGCATGCCCGCCGCCGTCAGCGTTTATGGACTCGGCGAGAAAAAAACGGGAGTTGCAAAGGGTAAGGTTCAGCTTACTTTTAGAGCGCACAACGGCGACCAGTCCAACTCCGTCGCCGCCTTGATCCTGCCGAAGCTCACTCTCTTCGCCGGAGGATGCCGCCAAAGTCTGCAGTCCTGGACCCATCTTAAGGACCTGGAGCTCGCCGATCCAGAATTCCGTTCCGCGGATCCAGTAGATCTTCTGCTGGGCGCCGACGTCTACGGAGTAATCATCCGCGAGGGCCTAAAAAAGGGGAGTCATCAGGAACCAGTGGCACAGCAGACCTCACTAGGATGGATACTCTCAGGCACCATCAATGAGAATGCACGCGGCCATCGTGTTGCAACTCACCATTGCCAAATCGAGGAGGACATCACCTGCTTGGTTCGGCGGTTCTGGGAGCAGGAGGAAGTTCGTAGGCCATCTCCGATCCTCACCAAGGCCGAACTGGAGTGCGAAGAGCACTATCGCCGACATCATACTCGCTCTCCAGACGGCCGGTATATCGTGCGCCTGCCCACTATTGACTCTCTGCCGGACCTCTCAGGAACAATCCGCGCTGCCCGCCGAGCGCTGCAACACACAGAGAAAAAGTTTGAGAGAGACAGCGAATTTCAAGGTATGTACGTGGAATTCATGCGGCAATATTTGAACCTGCGACACATGAGGCCTGCTCCGTCGTCAACTGAATCGCATCCGGGGGCTTGCTACCTGCCTCATCACGGGGTATTGCGTCCGGACAGCTCATCAACCAAACTGAGGGTCGTCTTCAACGGCTCGAGCTCCTTGCCGAACGGAGACTCCCTCAATAGATATTTAGCAACTGGTCCGAATCTACTGCCTTCGCTAGCCGACATCCTGCTGCGCTGGCGACGTCATCGCTACGTCTTCGCGACTGACATCGAAAAGATGTATAGGCAGATACTGGTGCACCCCGACGATCAAAACCTGCAAAGGATATTGTGGAGAGGGAACGCCAAGGACGAAATCAAGGAGTACTGGCTAAGTACCGTTACTTACGGTCTATCCTGTGCTCCTTATCTAGCGATCCGCACTTTACGACAACTAGCCGAGGACGAAGGACATCGCTACCCGAAAGGAGCCCTCATCCTGCTGAGCGACGTCTACATGGACGACATCCTGGCCGGTGCGGAGACCATGGAGGAAGCCGAAGTAATGCTGCAACAGCTGACTGAGATCTGCAGGGCGGGCGGCTTCTCACTTAAAAAGTGGTCGGCAAACCACTCGCTCCTGCTGAACGCAGTGGAGCCCGACGACCGTCTTCGACGAGAGGCCAGATGGTGGCTGCCCGGCGAGAGTCACTCCACTCTCGGTTTACGCTGGCAACCACGTGACGATCGCTTCGCTTTCGCAACCAAACTGACCACGCTGTCGACCTTCACCAAAAGGTCGGTATTATCTTTGACGGCGAAAATGTTCGACCCTCTCGGCTGGCTGGCCCCAACAACGGTATTAGCCAAGATCTTCATCCAGTCCACCTGGTTGCTAGGTCTTGATTGGGACGCTCCGCTACCCAGCGACGACGAGAGAAGATGGCTGCGATTCCAGAACGAGCTGCCTGCTTTGGAAAACGTGCTCGTACCTCGATGGCTGGGAGGTTTGACTGATTCACAGCTGGAAATCCACGGGTTCGCCGATGCCTCAGAGCGTGCCTACTCAGCGGTGCTATACCTGAGGACAGAAACAAAGGGTCTTATTAAGGTGGCACTCTTAGCTGCAAAAACTAAGGTCGCGCCCTTGAAGCAAGTATCACTACCTCGGTTGGAGCTGTCGGCCGCCACTCTTCTGGCTCGTCTAGTCGCCCACACCGTACCGATCATCGGAGCAGCCAAGGCACCTCTTCACATGTGGTCTGATTCCACCGTCACGCTTGGTTGGATCCGTGGGCATCCCTCGATGTGGGCCACCTATGTAGCTAATCGAGTCAGCGAGATCCAAATGCTGATCCCGGACGCCCACTGGCATCACGTACCAGGTCGGGAGAACCCAGCAGACTGTGCTTCCCGGGGACTCTACCCTAGCGAACTGGTTGACCACCCGCTCTGGTGGCAAGGTCCCGCATGGCTGACAGAGGAGAGCGGTACTTGGACGACGAATAGCGAGGCGATGCCAGCGGAGGACCTCCCAGAGAGACGAGTCCGGACCCACATCGCCGCCGTTACCGAGCTGAAGCCCGAATCGGAGTTACTGCTGCGCTACTCCTCGCTGAAGCGACTGCTACGGATCTCGGCTTGGTGCCGCCGCTGGTTGCTGATTCACCGCCAGCACCGCCATGCGCAAGGCCAGCCTAGCGTGATCAGCTCCGACAAACTGACGGAGACCCGCATCTCCTGGGTAAGGTTGATCCAATCTAAAACCTTTACAGAAGACATTAGAAAGCTGCAAAATGGAGCGGCTCTGCCGTCGCGAAGCTCCCTACAGAAACTGAACCCATTCCTGGACAGCGAGGGACTTCTACGAGTCGGCGGGCGCCTCAGACACGCAAACCTACCGTACGACGCAACTCACCCGCCAATACTGCCCAGCGAGTCGGCTTTCACTCTCCTCGTCGTAGATGATCACCACCAGCGAACTTTACACGGCGGTACTCAGATGACCTTGTGCTCCCTGCGCCGGGAGTATTGGGTCCCTCGAGGTCGGTCGTTGGTGAAGAAACACATCAGCCGATGTGTAAGGTGCACAAGATGGCGAGCCGCCATCCCACAGCCTCTCATGGGCGATCTCCCGGGGCCAAGGGTCACACCAAGCAGGCCATTTCTGCACACCGGCGTCGACTACGCCGGTCCGGTTTGGCTGAGGACCTCGAAGGGCCGCGGACACAAAGCTACTAAAGGGTTCATTGTGGTTTTTGTATGTTTAGCCTCCCGAGCCGTTCACCTCGACGTAGCCTCGGACTACTCCGCCGACGCCTTTATCGCAGCCTTGCGCCGGCTCATCTCAAGGCGAGGGGTCTGCATCAGCTTATACAGCGACTGCGGTACCAACTTCGTGGGTGCTGACAGGCAGCTAAACTCTCTCTTCTCCGCCGCCAGTGCCGACGGACGCCGCATCGCCTCATTCGCCGCACAGGAGAAGATCCAGTGGCATTTCAACCCACCGGCGGCACCGAACTTCGGCGGCTTGTGGGAAGCCGCGGTTAAATCGATGAAGCACCATCTGCGACGAGTCATCGGTGATGCGACCCTCACCTACGAGGAGCTGGCTACGCTCCTCTCGCAGATAGAGGCTTGCCTCAATTCACGACCGCTGCAGTCCTTGTCCGATGATCCTGAGGACGTCGCAGCTCTCACACCGGGGCACTTCTTGATCGGTTCCGCTCTCTCCGCAGTACCGGAGCCGTCGCTCGAACGAGAGCCGTCGACCCGACTATCACGCTGGCAGCTCCTGCAACAGATGAGGGACCATTTCTGGTCTCGGTGGTCCAGCGAATACTTACATACGCTGGCCCATCGGCCAAAATGGTCCCAAGTCAACCAGGAGGCTCACGTCGGGCGTCTGTGTCTACTCCGCAGCGAAACCACCCCACCAACGCGGTGGCCGCTCGCGCGCATCACTCGGCTGCATCCCGGATCCGACGGCCACGTGCGCGTCGTCGATATACGTACCGCGAGTACGAGTTTAACGCGCCCCGTCAGTAAACTTGTGTTCCTGGGCGGCGACCACGAAACTTTACGATAATCCGGCGTAAAGCGGCTCATATAATTCTGTTCTTCTTTTCCACAGATCTTCATCGCTCTTCTCTCATCAATTGCACGCTCACTTTCACTTCACCAACATACTATCACATCACTACCTTCTGTTCATTACGACACCATTCTCACCACCAAAATAGTCGCCTCATCCTAAATTACAATAGACTCATTTATCTAAATTGCTCGGTCTTCGCGACACAAGAGCCGACACGCGTCTATACTGCTACGCACGAAATAAACAGCTGACCGATTCAGCATTCCTTTCGCGACCTAAGCCGGAGCACGTGAACTCCTCGTGTCCGGAACCCGCGAGCGCGTGAACAAGCGCGCGCCCCCTCTATCGCACTACTCAGTGGATTGCAGGTATACTGCAAGGCGGGCGGAATGTTCGAAAATCGAACGTCTAACGCAAGAAAAAAAAAAAAAAGCTTAAAACATTATTGCGTTAAAACTCATGCAATCATGTCGTTCACATGCAACATGCCTCATGCGTCACCTTATATTAATATTAATTCAAATAGCGCTCGGCCGCACAGGTATACGTATACCCCGCGCCTGCAAAAAGGAAGCGCTTACGTCAAATCACCGATAATGGTAAACACCGCGGTCGCGCTAGAGGAGATACAATTTAGTCCCGATAATAACAAAACGACTATTTTTCTAAAAGTAAATAATTACACGCAACGCTCTTTCGACCTCAGCCGAACGTTAGAATAAAGAGACTTATTCTCGACTATTCTAGAAACACGGGCCTATAAAAACCTCCTCTCTCGTGATCGCGCCGCTCTTTTCCGATTGCTTGTCGCGCCAAGAGTGTGCTTATACTTTACGAAAAAGATCGCTTGTCCTTTTCGCTTCTCACGTTTAATTACCGTTGCTTGCGGACATTCAGTAATTTATTGTCGACCCGGCTTTTCTCTCGTTTATTGCATTTATTTCTAATACGTTCGACTCGGCTATCTTTTGGTAAATTCTGTGCGGTTAAACAATTGTAATTTGTGTTGTTCTTAGAGTAAATATATTTTTTGTTCACGTTACGCGTTTGTCGAGTGCAGTGTTTCGCTGTCCTTTCGCTTCCGACCTTCCTATCCTGCTTTCCGTCGCGCACACGAACTATCTATCATCTATCGATCAACCTATCTATCTATCGATCTATCTGTCTCTTCTCTCTTTTCTACATTGCATTATTTTATATATGTACACGTATATAATATTTTTTTAAAATATTGTACATTACAAAAGTAATTAAATTTATAATCTAATAATATATAAAAATCTTTTATAAATATAATGATTACAAAGTTTTAGTAGATAATTTTTTGTAATAAATAAATGATTTATATGATTTATTCTTATCTAACTCTACTGCTCTGTGTTTTGATAATAATAGCATTATTATGTATTCAATTTCTAAAATACTTTTATATAAATCATTACAAAGAATTATTTACTTTGTAATCAATTATAATTATTATAGATAGGCCTGTTCATACACATACACACACATATATATATTGTGTTACCTTACATTAAAGATCTTAGCGAGAATATTACGCGTTGCATCAATAAAAGTGGAATTGATGCTTTATATACTGTCCCAAAGAAATTGGACACGTTGATAAAAAGAGGTAAAGATGGGATCGAAAACTTAAAAAGAACTGATGTTGTTTATAAAATTGAATGTGCGAATTGCGATTCGGCTTATATAGGACAGACAAAGAGACATTTAGAAACGCGCATTAAAGAACATAGAAATAACATAAAAAAAGACAAGACATTGCATTCTGTCGTTAGTTTACATCGGACTTGCAACGATCATGAGTTCCGTTGGGATTCTCCGGTGATTCTGCATGAGGAAAAACAGACAAGAAAAAGAGAAATTGCAGAAATGTTTTACATAAAAAACAAGGAAAAAGTATTAATTTACAGAAAGATACGGAGAATTTCAGTGGGATTTATGATTGTTTGAGATGCAAAATAATTCTTATCGCCAGTTAAATTATTTCGGCAGTAAAATGTAATTAGGATTTTCATATATTATACGTTTTCAGTCGAGACAAGGTTCGATCTCGAAAATAGTTATTGTTAAATTCTAGAATCTTCGATCGGCAATAATAAAGTCACATTTGTTTGTAATGGAATAAAAAGGAGTCGTAAATTGACAGCTGTCATATAAAAAAACGCTCAAATACACAAACAAGTAACGGTGTCGCAACCGTTCCGCCGAATAATTATATGCTATTGAGCATGCGCCACTTTAAAATCACGCAAAATTATTGGCGCTTCACGCGAGGGTGGGCTCCTCTCCGAAAATGATAAAAGAGGAGCTCACACCCGGTTTGAGGTCTTATCGCTTTCCGCCGTGTACGCATAAGAGTAAACCGCTTAGAAAAACCGCAGAACATTAAATCGACGACCACCGCCTTTTCTTGTGATTTCGAATTGTCCGCTGAAACTGATTAGATTTTGTGTTAATTTTTTTGTGCGTTTAATTGTTAAGTATTGTACATTATATTTCCGTAAAGATTCGTATATTAAAAGTTTCTTTTATACTAAAAGTGACTCATCCTTTTTTTGGTGTCGTTCGATTCCTCTCACGCAGCGCGTTCGCGAACATATTTCTGGTCCTTCGAGCCGGATCTTCTCGCCGGCACCCGCAAGTTTGTGAACGTGTCTTCGTGTAGTTCGTGAGTGCTCGTAGTTCACCATGGATGTGAACACGTTGATCGATTGCCAACGTGAGATCCAGGTCCGTATTTCGCGCTCCGTGGAATACCTGAAGAAGCTGGGCACGACCAACATCACCGCCAGTGCCGTATCTACACGCACCAGAATCTTAGATCAGCTGTGGACGAAATTCGAGGCACAGCATGATCTCATTCGCGCAGCTCTGAAAGAAAAATATTGTGAGAGCGAATACTGCAAGTCGGAGTTGCATGGAGATACGGAAAATCTGTACGTTGCACAACGCAGTACCTTGGATAGTTATGCCGAACATTTCCGGAAGCCGAACGTATCTCCATCCGTCGACGTCGCATCGAAGTCTTCGCTGCCGCGCATCAAGTTGCCGCCGTTCTCTGGCGCCTACGCCGATTGGCCATCCTTTCGCGATCTTTTTCTGTCCATTGTGAGCAGCAATTCGATCTCGAACATTGAGCGGCTCCACCACCTCCGCTCGTGTCTGACAGGTCCGGCTGAAAGGTTGATAAAGTCACTACCTGTCACGAGTGACAATTACGATCGCGCTTGGGCAATCTTGGACAAGCACTACAATAACAAAAGAGAATTAATCCGCTCCAACTTTGCCACGTTTACCGCCGTGCCAAAGATGAAGGGAGATACCGCCGAGGAGCTGAGCCGCATCCACAACGCTGTCACCGCCGCAGTCAACGCACAGGAGAGCATCGGACGTCCTATCAACTCGCATGGGATGGACCTGTTCAACCACCTGGTCGTCGAACTGTTCGACGCACGCACTCGTCTCGAATGGGAGTCAACCACTTCAGACTCCACCGAACCACCACAGAACGAGGCACTTCTCGACTTTATTAGTCGACGAGTATTGACGCTCAACGCCGCACGACCGAGGAGTGTCACAAAGGGACCTGGAGAAACATCACGATTCGCCAAAGCGCACGTCACGAAGCACCAAGGCGCGGATTCACCTCACTGTGCACTGTGCCGTGAAAACCATACCTTGATGACGTGCAAAAGCTTCAAGGCCAAGACTGCGGTTGAGCGGAAAACGTTCGTGGAGACCAACCGACTGTGCTTCAACTGCCTAGGCAATCATTTCTTAGCACGGTGTCAGTCAAAAAAGAATTGCCTCACCTGCAACGCACGACACCACACCATGCTGCACGGGGCATCCACATCAACACCATCCGCTGAGGCCACTTCACTTGCCACCACACTGGTCACTGCACGGCAAGCTAAGACGCACAAGGCCGTCCTTCTCGCAACCGCTCGCGTCAAGGTCGCTGATCGATACGGATCACCACACGAGGTTAGAGTCTTGATAGATCAGTGCTCCGAGGTGTCCATCATCTCTGAGGCTCTGGCTCAGCGTCTTCGGCTGCCTCGAGCTTCAACGGATCTGTCCATCTTCGGCATCGGAGGGACTCGCTCTGGATCAGCGCGTGGCAAGGTCACGATAGACATCACATCTGACGTGACCAATGCCGAGCTTCGCGTGGTGGCCTTTGTGCTGCCGCGCATCTCATTGCAACAAGGCACCGCTCAACGTGAAGATCGTAGCTGGCCTCACATCCACGGACTTCGATTGGCCGACCCGCGCTTCCTGGATGACGATCCTGCGGAGTTACTTCTGGGAGCAGAAGTCTACTCGCTGATCCTCGAGGAAGGCCTTCGCAAGGGCGGATCACGGATGCCGATCGCCCAGCAGACGAGCTTAGGATGGATCTTGTCCGGAGGCTACGACGCCGCAGCACCCGAAGGCCATCGCCGCACGTTCCAGTGCACCACAGACCACGACCTCGCTAACATGGTTCGACGCTTCTGGGAGCAGGAACGCGAGCCAGTAGCTGGGACACCGCTCACCGCCGACGAAGCCAGGTGCGAAGACTTCTACGTGCGCACGGTCACTCGCACGTCCAGTGGCAGGTACATGGTGAGGCTGCCATGTACTTCACCGCCGCCGACATCGCTCAGCGAGACTCGTCGACCCGCAGAGCGCCTCCTGGAAGCCATGGAGCGGAAGGGAGCACGAGATCCTCGCTTCGGTGACCTCTATCGAGATTTCATGGAGGAATACGAGAACCTGCAACATATGGAGGTCAGCACAACTTCAACAACCTGCAGCCCTAGGTGCTACTTACCGCATCACGGGGTCCTCAAGGAGTCAAGCACGACCACGAAGCTCAGGGTCGTGTTCAACGGCTCCCAGCGCACACGGTCCGGAGAGTCGCTGAACGCACACCTCCTCACTGGAGCCAATCTCTTGCCAACACTCGCTGATGTCCTACTTCGTTGGCGTTGGCATCGGTACGTTCTCGTCACGGATATCGAGAAGATGTACCGACAAATTCTTGTACATCCGGAGGATCGTCGCCTGCAAACCATCTTGTGGCGCCACACCAGCTCTGATGACGTCCACGAGTACGAGCTGAGGACCGTGACCTACGGGCTAGCGTGTGCACCCTTTCTCGCCATCAGGACTCTTCATCAACTCGCAGCAGACGAAGAGGCACGATATCCACGCGGAGTCAAGGCACTGCGACACGACTGCTACGTCGACGACGTGGTCACCGGCGCTGATAGCTTGGAGGACGCTATCGACCTTCAGCAGGAACTACGGAGTCTTTGCATGGCGGGCGGATTTCCTTTGAGGAAGTGGGCTGCCAACGATCAGCAGGTGCTCACCGGAGTTCCACCGGAACATCGGCATCAACGCAAACCGCACTCATGGGAGGGAGAGAGTCACGCTACCTTGGGCCTCCGATGGCATCCGCAAGGTGACTGGTTCTCCTTCACCATACGTCCGCGTGCAATCACCGACTTCACGAAGCGACGAGTTTTGGCCGAGACGGCTCGACTCTTTGACCCGATGGGGTGGCTCGCACCTGTCGTCATCAGAGCCAAAATTCTGATTCAGACGACGTGGCTTCAACGGCTGGACTGGGACTCCCCGCTGCCTGATCAGGACGCACACCGCTGGAGGCAGTTGTTGAATCAGCTTCCTCTTCTAGATGACATCCGCATAACTCGCTGGCTCAACACTGGGACCGACCATTCACAACTGCAGCTCCATGGGTTTGCCGACGCATCAGAGCGAGGGTACGCCGCCGTGGTGTACATCCGCAACGCTGCAACAGAGAAAACATCAATCAACCTGTTGATGGCAAAATCCAAGGTCGCACCTGTCAAGCAGGTGTCGTTACCTCGCTTGGAACTCTGTGCAGCAGCTCTACTTACCACGCTCATGCTCCACGTGCGCTCTACTCTCGGTTTGACAACGACGCCAGTGCATCTGTGGTCAGATTCAAAGGTCACGCTCCACTGGATTCAAGGACACAGCACCCGCTGGAAAACCTTTGTCGCCAATCGAGTGTCTCAGATCCAGACCCTGCTGCCAGACGCTCAATGGAGACACATCGCTGGACGAGAGAATCCTGCAGATTGTGCATCACGCGGTGTTACTCCTGACGAACTCATTAAGCATAAACTGTGGTGGACAGGACCTACCTGGCTGTCAGGAGACGAGACTGCATGGCCTTGTTCCGTCATCGAAGCCGCAGAGGATGACCTCCCGGAGCAGCGAGCCACCAGTTTGGTGGTCAAGGCACCGATCACGGCCGAACCTGACCTCCTCCTCCGGTTCCCGACGCTACAAAGGCTGCTGCGAGTTACTGCATGGTGTCGGCGATGGCTCAATCCGGCGAGACGCGACGTCATACTTGGCCGCACTTTGCATCCGGACGAGCTGGACGTCGCCTTATTTCGATGGCTGCGAGTGGTGCAGGCGCTCCACTTTCCTACGGACGTAGCTGCGGCCTCTGCTGGACGCACTAGTCCACCGCGAAGCCACCTAGCGAGGTTGAGTCCGGTCCTCGATGATCAAGGCGTGCTGCGCGTCGGAGGACGTCTCAAGCATGCTCAGCTACCACTCGACGAAAGACATCCAATGATCATCCCGGCGGCATCATGGTTGACTCGGCTGGTGATTGATTCCTGCCACCGACGGACACTGCACGGAGGTGTGCAACTGACTCTCGGCTTGCTCCGCCTGCGTTTCTGGGTGCCCCGAGGAAGGACCACCGTCAAACAGCAGCTACACCGATGCGTGACCTGCACTCGATGGCGCGCCGCAACACCACAGCCTCCGATGGGTAACCTTCCTCGGGACCGAGTAACGCCAACTCGACCGTTCCTCAGCACCGGTTTGGACTACGCGGGACCAATCCTCCTCCGGACCAGCAAGGGGCGTGGACACCGTGCGCACAAGGGATACATCGCCGTCTTCGTCTGCTTCTGGTCGAAGGCCATTCACTTAGAAGTTGTCTCGGACTACACCTCGGAGGCCTTCATCGCCGCGCTGCGCCGCTTCATCTCCCGCCGGGGTTTGTGCGCTGAGATTTACAGCGACTGCGGCACGACTTTCATCGGGGCAGATCGGACGCTGCGAGGTCTCTTTAACGCAGCGACAGCCGAAGGTCAAAGTGTCATCCTTGCCGCCACCGATCAAGGAATCCGCTGGCACTTCAACCCGCCAGCGGCCCCGCACTTTGGTGGTTTGTGGGAGGCCGCCGTAAAGTCGACCAAGTTTCACCTCCGTCGGGTGATCGGCGAGACCACCCTCACGTTCGAGGAGTTGAGCACACTCCTCGCCCAGATCGAAGCTTGTCTGAATTCACGTCCGTTACAGGCACTCTCAGATGATCCAGAGGACGTCTCGGCGCTGACCCCCGGTCACTTCCTCGTTGGGGCACCGCTCCTCGCCTTGCCGGAACCGTCATTGACAGAGCAGACGGTGTCCACCTTGTCACGTTGGCGTCATCTGCAGCGGATGAGGGATCACTTCTGGCAGCGATGGTCATCCGAATACGTGCACGGACTCGCCCCACGCACCAAGTGGCTCAAGGATGCACCTGCACCCCACGTCGGCGATCTCTGTCTCGTGCGCTCCGAGATCACCCCTCCGAGCCGATGGCCTCTCGCTCGCATATTGCGTTTGCACCCCGGAGACGACGGAATTACACGCGTCGTGACCATCCGAACGGCCACGTCCGAGCTCGTGCGCCCACTCGTCAAGCTCGTGTTTCTTCCGGGCGTGAACGACGCGCCTACACCGCACATTGACACATAGCATCACTCACTACACAATCATCACATCATGCACCATATCAATTGTCACACATCACTTGTTTCGCTCACCACCGCACTAAAACTTGTCTCATTTTCACCGCTCACTGCATCTCACACTCGCCGTTCACATCTGCCACATGTTTTCGCCGTTCCAGCTGATCGATTCACATCACGCGATCACCACGTGTTTTCGTCGACTCAGCTGATCGATTCGCAACACGCGATCATCACGTGAATTTCGCCGCGCCGACGCGAGCCCGCCCCACCATCAATCACCATCGGAATGTGATCCGCGCCGAAATCATCATCAACCATTTGTCACGTTGCGACAAGGCGGGCGGGATGTTTGAGATGCAAAATAATTCTTATCGCCAGTTAAATTATTTCGGCAGTAAAATGTAATTAGGATTTTCATATATTATACGTTTTCAGTCGAGACAAGGTTCGATCTCGAAAATAGTTATTGTTAAATTCTAGAATCTTCGATCGGCAATAATAAAGTCACATTTGTTTGTAATGGAATAAAAAAGAGTCGTAAATTGACAGCTGTCATATAAAAAACGCTCAAATACACAAACAAGTAACGGTGTCGCAACCGTTCCGCCGAATAATTATATGCTATTGAGCATGCGCCACTTTAAAATCACGCAAAATTATTGGCGCTTCACGCGAGGGTGGGCTCCTCTCCGAAAATGATAAAAGAGGAGCTCACACCCGGTTTGCGGTCTTATCGCTTTCCGCCGTGTACGCATAAGAGTAAACCGCTTAGAAAAACCGCAGAACATTAAATCGACGACCACCGCCTTTTCTTTTGATTTCGAATTGTCCGCTGAAACTGATTAGATTTTGTGTTAATTTTTGTGCGTTTAATTGTTAAGTATTGTACATTATATTTCCGTAAAGATTCGTATATTAAAAGTTTCTTTTATACTAAAAGTGACTCATCCTTTTTTGGTGTCGTTCGATTCCTCTCACGCAGCGCGTTCGCGAACAATGATCGTGTTCTTAACGTTATTTAAGTCGTTTATTATTTTTTACTTTTAATTTTATTTTTATTTTTATATCCACCTATTTATTTATTTTTATTTATTTGACTTTATTATGACGATTTAAATTACGAAAGACACATTTAGTTTCGTCTCTATTTTCTTAACGCTTAGTGACTAAGATTCTTGCGAACAGTTAACATCTATTTAATATGTGCTTACTTCTGTCAGTCTTGCATTGTTCATCAAAACAAGCGTTAACATTGTCGGTAGTTTGCATAGAAGTTGATTTACTGTTTTAAATTTGGTATGTAACACATTTTGTTTTTAAATGTATAATTAATTGTTGCGAATAAGTGTAATAAATTATAATTATTTTGATGGAACTTTTTATAGATGTACTTGAAAAGGGCTGCAATGACAGCCGAAACGTTGTATTTCAAATAATTATTTATAATAAATTATTGCCAGTCTGGTCGACTTTAAACATTGAGGAGTGGTTTTTTATTAATTATTACTGGCAACCTTAAGGATTATTATTTATATATATTCAGCATTGCCCGACAGCACCAGGTTAATAATCCCCGCCCAGGACTTAAATTTTTGCATTTTTTTTTTTTTGAATAAACTAATTTATTCATGAATTAATAAAATTATAACAAGAATATATAATAACAATATTTTTAAATTGATCAATCTATTGGTTTAATTTATCGTCATCGAAGAGGAAAGCAGGAAAATCTTCGATTACGTTTATTTGACAATCATAATTAAAAATATTTGAAAAATCATATGCTTTTGTTTTGTAATTGTCAATTTAATCTTTGATTGAATTTGCTCGATAAGAAAATTAGTTATATTTCACAATTTTACATTATAAATGTTGATAAAAATTCAAGTTGTGAACTTTGACTTCGGAATCGAGCAAATTCAATGGAAGATAGTATCGACAATTTATCATTTGATTGAATATCTGATTGATAAGAAATAAACATAATCGTAGATTTTCTTTTCCTTCCCCTTTGATGACGCGATAAATTGAACCAATATATTGATCAATTTAAAAAAATTATTCTTATTATATATTCTTATTAGTTTGATAAATAATTATTTTATTCATAAAATAGATTGCAAAAATAAAATCTTGGGCTTTTTTGTACGTGGATATCATTCTAATGCTACGGGCAGTGTGGGCACATTTGAAAATCTATATTTATAATTGTGCAAAAAATATATAATTTTATCTTCATATATATATATATAATTTTTGCACAATTATAAATATAGATTTTCAAATGTGCCCACACTGCCCGTAGCATTAGAATGATATCCACGTACAAAAAAGCCCAAGATTTTATTTTTGCAATCTATTTTATGAATAAAATAATTATTTATCAAACTAATAAGAATATATAATAAGAATAATTTTTTAAATTGATCAATATATTGGTTCAATTTATCGCGTCATCAAAGGGGAAAGAAAGGAAAATCTACGATTATGTTTATTTCTTATCAATCAGATATTCGATCAAATGATAAATTGTCGATACTATCTTCCATTGAATTTGCTCGATTCCGAAGTCAAAGTTCACAACTTGAATTTTTATCAACATTTATAATGTAAAATTGTGAAATATAACTAATTTTCTTATCGAGCAAATTCAATCAAAGATTAAATTGACAATTACAAAACAAAATCATATGATTTTTCGAATATTTTTAATTATGATTGTCAAATAAACGTAATCGAAGATTTTCCTGCTTTCCTCTTCGATGACGATAAATTAAACCAATAGATTGATCAATTTAAAAATATTCTTATTATATATTCTTGTTATAATTTATTAGTTTCATGAATAAATTATTTTATTAAAAAAAAAAAAAAAAAAAAAAAAAAAAAATTAAGTCCTGGGCCCTGTGCGGGGATTATTTAACCTGGTGCTGTCGGGCAATGCTGCATATATATATCCTGGTGCTGCGGCGGTGCGGATATATATCCTGGTGCTGCCGGCGGTGCGGACACGTAGCCTGGTGCTGCCGGTTGTGCGGACATGTATCCTGGTGCTGCGGCGGTGCAGGGGGGGGGAGAGCGACATTTATCGCCGTCATCATCATCCTCGCGTCCGCTGGCAACGACGGCCATCGCATCATGCGAAAAAGGCAATGTCCTACGCGGACTTGAACCCTGGTTCGCACGGTGATAATCCCACGCTCTAAATTGGCGCCACAGGACTCTTGTATCAATATGGATTTTTATGAGATATTTGAATTAAAGAGAAATGTTTTAGTAAAAATATTATTCATCCACTTATTTCAAAAAGATAAAAAAAAAAACAAAACTACTTTTATCTTTTTGAAATAAGTGGATGGTTTATATATTTGTTCTATGTAACGAAACGTAAAACAATTTATAGTATTATTGGCGCTATATACGTTTTATGATATCAATATGGATTTTTATATTTGAATTAAAAAGAAATATTTTTTAGAAAAAATTCGTCCACTTATTTCAAAAAGAATACAAAATAAAACTACTTTTATCTTTTTGAAATAAGTGGATAAATAATATTTTTTCTAAAAAATTATTTTTAATTCAAATAGCTCATAAAACCCCATATTGATATCATAAATCGTATATGGCACCAATAATACTACAAATTGTTTTACGTTTCTTTACATAGAAAAATATATACACCATCCACTTATTTCCAAAAGATAAAAGTAGTTTTATTTTGTATCTTATCTTTTTGAAATAAGTGGATGAATAATATTTTTTCTAAAAATTATTTCTTTTTAATTCAAATATGTCATAAAAATCTATATTGATAATATGAATTCCGTGGCGTCAATTTAGAGCGTGGGATTACCACCGTGCGAACTAGGGTTCAAGACCGAGAAAAACTTTTTTTTTGTGTAATATATCAAAACATGTTTTTTTTTTATTATATTTACATATATAATATATATATGATTATATATAATTATTATATATAATTATATATAATCATATATAATTATAAATGTATATATAATTATATAAATACAGGGGCGTTCCAACCCGGGTGTGCAAAGAGTGCAGGGCACACGGGCGCCACGGGGGCGGCACACTCATGAAAATTTTTCAAAAACAAGTCCTACCTCTTAGAAAATTGTTTATTAAAAAAACTTTTTTATTGAGTCCTTTTAAATCGAAATATATAAGAATATAAAAAGATATAAGTAGAGGCGGCAAATTTAGTGTGGCCCCGATGACCCCGGCGCCAAGTACCCTAGGAACGCCCCTGTATAAATAAAAAATTCTCCTGCAATCTTTCAAAGCGAAAGCGAAAGACACAGGAAAGAAAAAAAAAAAGTAACATTCAATATGTGTGTGTGTGTGTGCGCGCCGTGCGGCAACATCTTATTTGCAAACAAATAACAATCAGCCGCGCGGCAACAACGCACGAACTCGGGAGATGAGCAGTCCACTTTCGTCGCCGAAGATAGAGGGACCAAGATG